AAAACCTATAATAGGTAACTCACATTCTACACTTATTACTTGTGATTGTGATGATGACATGTTAAAAGTCATATTCGCTAAATTACGAGCACGCGAGGTCGGCTCGGAATCCAATTCGAGTCGATGGTGAAAAGAGCGAGCTCTCTAAAGAATGCTCGAAGCGGTGAATCTCTTGATAAAGCACAATTACGACTGCCCGATATTTCGGGAGAAAGTCATTAACGCGTTCGACAAGTATTGTTTAGATATGTGATTGACGCTATAGTGTCAACAGTTTTTTGTGACAATACACTGAGTTCACGGAAGAAGCACGTGTTCTACGACGTGTCGGAATGTGTGAGTCGAGGAACAACCTGAAGATATTAATCAATTTTGATGAAATTTTATCCAAATCATATTGAGGTTCATAGCTAACTTTTGGAGGGTAATCGATGGATCCTTATTACTTATTATTTTTTTCTGACAACATAAATTCATAATGTTGGAGAACTTTTTTAATAGGAAGTAATTGAAATTCACTTAGTTCACGGGAAAAACCTATAATAGGTAACTCACATACAAAAATTTTTTTTCGATCCCCTTTAATAGATATATACATATGTATATATAAATTGCACAATGTGTATATACATATATATGTGTAAATGTATAAGTACTCCTCGAATATCAATATTTGTAAGCTTATTCATATATTTATGTTCATCGTAAGTAAGTACGTACAATACAAGTTACAGTTAATACAGTTAGTTCGTGTTCGATTTGGTTGACCTGTTGTCTGTAAATTAAATGGTACATAATAGCGCGGTCGCGCTATTGCGTATCGATTGTCATCTGTTAACGAAATAACAAATGCTGGCGGTACAATACGTTCTGTGGCGGTACATTTACACTGTTGCACAGTGGTCTAAATCAGTAGCGCGAAAAAAGTCCAAAATAAAAAGAATTTAATTTTACTACTTTGATTTAAATTATTGTAAACATTTCAAAATATTAAAAACTATAAATTTTCGTCGATAATATTAATTTACAATGGCGCATATAGTAAGGTAATTTTGTTTATGCTCCTGACCATTAACATATTGTCGCATCGCGACGGCTTCGACGACGCGTTATTAATCATGACTTTTTACATAAAATATGTTGTTATTTATGATTTTACCGAATTGACTCTTAGTTAGGTTATTTCCTTATAGTTTTTTTATATTTGGTGCTAAATTTAATATTGATTACTGCAATTATAAATTAATTGTTGAATGTTTATAATATTAAATTTTTCAGAGTCCGACAAAAAATTGCAGACGTTTGCAGATGTTAAATTTAAATTAAATCTCATCATTTGTTATCAAGGAATTTGTATTGTAAAAATAAAATGCGCACATGTGCGGTTTGTAAAAAGTTATTATAAATTAATATATAAATTAAAACAAATATGACAGGTAATGTGAATCGACCGCTGATTATAATTTGCGAATAAATTAAAAATATACATATATTACAAAGTTAAGCAACCTTTATTTCGATGACGTTTATAAATTTGCTTTTCGTACGATTAATATGTTTGATCGTACGAAAAGTAATTTTATTTGTATTAATTCATGAGTCGTCAACCAAACTTGAATAGTTTTGTGTTAGTTTATATATTTTTTGTAAAGTTATTATAATTTTTAGGAGTAGGGGAGACCGAATATATGTTATTTTATAACTGTTGCTATATCACTTTTTTATTATTTATTATTAATAAACTGTAATAGTTACTATAGAATTTTTTTTATTACATGCTTATTTATTATTAATAATCGTTTTATATTACAAATTATTTATATTATTGTTTAATATCGCCGTTATTATTTATCTAATATATATATATATATATATATATATATGTTAACTTATCATATGCAATAATTAATAGTTTTTATATTTTGAGAGAGATAAGATCTAAAATTAACAATAAATGATATATATAAAAGCGTTAACGAGAAATTTATAATTTTTTCGTGCTACGAAACTTGCGATTAGACAGACCACTGTGCGTCGAGGAATACGCATGAGAAGCCTTGTACCTCCAAAAGAAAAGTACCGCGAGTTCGATAACAATGATTATACTTCCAATCGAAGCGTTTATTCATTATTACCTTGTGAATTTCGTACCTCGAGCTACCATATATCGAGAAAAATACCTCTTATTATTGTAGAAAAAAAAAACTTCCTATTAGTATGTAATTCGAAATGACATTTTCATTTCAAAATTTGTACCTCGAATTTAGAGGTACTATACGATGCAAGACTAACAAGGGGAGGGCACGAGGTGTTACTCACCGATTTTAAAAAAGCTTATGTATGTTAAAGTACTCTAGTAATAGTAGATAGTAATAGTAGATCTAATAATAGAGTACTTTGGCAAAGGGATACGACCCAACTCTCAGCCGTTTTCGAGAAAAACCGGTTTAAAGTTTACAGTTCCGTATATACCGGTCGCATTAAATCCATTGTCTTTTTAAAATCGGTGAGTAACACCTCGCGCCCTCCCCTTGTAAGAGTGTATTAATTGAGAATACAATTCTCGTAAACCCGCATCGCGAATGAGATGCCTCTCAAGACTAAAAGAAACGCTTTATCGCCACGTCACGTAAGTCACCAAGTAGGCGAAACACATCTTCTTTAACCGACAATTTCACAATATATCTGCCGTGCCTATCCATCGATACATTGTCTAAAAAATGAGCCTCGCATCCTGTTCATCCCTTGTGTAATTGTTCAAAGCTCCGGTCACATTTCCTTGATCAGCCAAAAACAATTGACCTGCTCGTGCAATTGTAAATTACTGACAAATGCGTAGAAAGCGCGTAACACTGGAAACACAATAAGCGCATACAACAGAGAATAACGAGCCGTCCAATCAAAGCTGTGAGGTATAAGTTCGATATTATATCCCAGAGCTCTGATTGGATGGTTATTTCCTGTTGCCTGTGCCTATTGTGTTTCCAGCTTGACTCTGAGTGCCTTCCAACAAACGACACACATGACACGGTGTGACACAGTGTATCAGTACGTCCTTGTTGTTCGCCAATGTTAAACAAAGATGAGATGATCACTGTGTCGCACCGTGTCGCTTGTTGGAAGGCACATTCTATTGCCTGATGCGATGAATCGTCGTCCACGCGATCGGCTAACACCCAGCCCAGACGCGTTTTCTGAATGGTGAGATGTTTAAAGTACGCATGTATCTGTCTCACGCATAATAATTGCCAAAATAATTCGGCGCCAATGAGCATGTCGATGTCTGACGCCATGTTAAATCGAGGATCTGCTAATTTGATTCTGGAAGGTAATTTAGAGGTACGTCGATCCATAGTGACAGCCGAAATCTTCCTGGTGATTTGATTGATTACTACACATTCAATCTCAGTCGCGAACGAATTCAGTCGCGAACATATTTTGACTCGTGCGTATTTGATTCGAAACGAACGCTGCTGTATTGATTCCAGATATAGAAATATATTTTTATATCCGACCGACGCGCGAGTATCGTCGCCCACGTCACCGTTCTCCCTCCCATTTCACGAAATATCAAGCAAAGTGCTTTAGCCAATTGCATGTTCTGCAACCGTCGAATGAACAGTTGGCAGCTGCATAGCTCGATATACACGCAAGCAATTGAAACATAGTTTTTTTTATCGCAAGCTACTGAAATTCGTTGATCAATTAACAACGACAAATTTTCTTTGCAAAAATATATTAAATATGAGTAGCCACAATAATTGCATTTGCCCCTCTCAACGGCAGTCACATGCAAGACGCTTAACGCTAAATTATGATTGTGAGCGAGTATCGAAGCGACAATGGATTTTTCTGAGCGACTCTTTCAATATTTGACCGCGATGCCCGAGAAAGTCGATAAATTCCTTGAGCGTGAGCAATTTGGAGCCTTGTAAAGATGCATGTCACTCGCGAAATATCCATATCTAATTTTGAGTTACTCAAAATGTAAAACAATAAGGCATCCCAGACAGCATGCTTGTCAGAATGAAAACTTTAAGAGAACTTTTTCAAGAGAACATTTAGTTATCTTTAAAATAATGTCTAAACGATATCTCATAATAATCATTTATTAGAGAATCTACCAAGAGAACTCTTTAAGATATCCGATTTGAGAGATGTCTTGAAATTGTTATCTTTATGATGTCATGCTAAATGATATTAGTTTGTTTTCTCATAAAAGATATCAATATGTTGTATGATTTTTGACAGTTCAGAAACGAGACATAATTATGATATCTTTTATGAGAAATTCATTTGATGTTACTTATTAGGAAAGATTCTGTTTCAGAGATGCCAGAATGTTTGTAGATTATCGCGCCAACGTTCTGTGAATTCATAATCTTGCCATTCACTTCATCAGGGCGAGGAGTGCAGTGATACTTGTAGCAATTTCGGGTGGGATGCACTAGTGTACACTGGTGCATGTTAAGTCCGTGTACAATGTACATGTTCGTGCATATGTTATATCCGTGTACTGCCGCGGTGGTAGATTAACAGTGTACAACGGTTTTAATATGCACCAGTGCACACTTATTTTCCCAGCCGAAATCGCTAATAGATACGTATCAGTGCATTCCTCGCCCTGATGAAGTGAACGGCAAGATTAATTAATTCAAACCTGTAAACATAACCTGTAAACTCTCTTTTTAAAGAAATCTATATATTAACATATAACAGATTTCTTTAAGACATCATAAATATGAATATATATGTTAATCATAAAGATGTCCAATTTAAGAAATCTTTTATATATCATTTTTGTGACATCTTTCTGTTCTCAAAAAACGACGCATTAGATAACATTCAGTTATCTTTATGTGATCTTTAAGAAGTTTCTCTAAGTTATCAGATTCAGAAATAAGATATCTTTTAGAAACCTTTTGGATAACATATTGTTATTTGGGATCCCATTTATCGGCATTCAAGTGCCGATAGCGCATGTATGTGTGTCGATACACCATTCGTCAGTTACCGAAGATCGTTGGCATTTTCTTTAAACATTGTCAGAAGACCTAATATTGCCTTAATGTGTTTGGACGATGACCCGTTTATTTTCATACTGCTCTTTCAAAATGTTCCACTCAAGGTCAAAATTGGCATTCGAAATTTCACGAGATTTGACAATATCTGCTGCTTTTGTTTGTTAGCGATGTCAAGTTAACTGCGGCTTATTTATGTATAAATTAAAGTTCTTAATAAAATACCTGGCTGTTTCATTAATACTTGTGTAAACATATCTTCTCCTATTCTACTACACTCTGTTTGCGCAGCATCTGCAGCATCTGATTTATGAAACAAACACACAGAGTTAATTTAAAATAAACTTTCGATCATGCATTGTGTGAATAATCCTAGTATTAATACTTACTGAAAATATCTGTAGATGAATGTAAAGATTTTTTATTCACTTTTAGAATGCTTTCAGTAAATACTTTGTCAGTGACTAGAACGAAACAATTTTTATTAATATTTTATGAGCATATATTATTAATATTCTTCAAAAACAGTATTTATTTATAAAGATGTTTATTATATTTACCATTTCTTAAAAGCAGTTGCTTGTTGAAAAGAATAGGAACAGCAATTTGTTTTAATTTTGTTTTTCCAAAAATTGAAATATTCTCCCACATTTCGTCAGCAAAATGTTCCTGCTGTTAAACAATAGCTTCATAAAATATTCAAGATTAAATTCGATTTGATTTGATTTGTAGAAAGAGACAGTTCACAAAGTTCTTGGATGCATTCCGTTTCATGCAGGATGCGCATAATGCATCACTTATCCTTCTTTAATATTCGGCGAACAACAAAGATAAATGCATCATGCGTGAAACGGAATGTACCCAAGAACTGAGGTACGAAACATATATTATTAAGGATTCTGCTAAGGAGACCCCAGTTAATTTAATGGACACAATGTCAGACTTGTCTGATCAGGCCTCATCGCCATCAGTATCAGATAGTTTTTTAAAAAGCAGTAAATGTCCTCAAGAATTTAGTTGCAGCGCCAAGGATTCTGACGAGCCTTTGTCTGACGATGATGCGAAAGAATTGATTTTCAATCAGAAGAAAGTAACCCCTTTTCTAAAAGTGCAAAATACTACCAAGGCCAAGAAACGAAAAGTTGACAACAGTGCCTTACTGGATTTTTTAAAACAGGATTCAGAAGAGAGAAAAACGCAGAATGAAAATCTTGCAGCTTCTTACTTAAAAAAATGAACCAAGAAAAAGAATCAAAAAAACAAATGTTGGAAATTCTCTCTAAACTATTTGACAAGTAACGAGAGATTCACACTACGTTTGATGTTTGACATTGTTTTTCAGTTTAGTTTACATATAATTCCATATTTATATTTTTAATACATATTCCCTCTGATATGTGATTTATCTTTAATCCAACCAAAGGATAATTATTAGAAATAATTGGTTGTGATGAAGTAATGATTATTTCATATAGAATGCAGCCTGAGAAATATATCTTATGATTTTAATTACCATTTCTTATGAAGCAGCAATAATTTTTATTTTAGTTTTAGAAATATATTCGTCAGTTATTAATTAATATCATCACATGATATTAGAGATGTTTTATGTTTGATTACTGTTAATTTTTTAAAATTTTATTATATGTCAGAATATGTGGCACTTCTCAAGACTGTTAACAAATTGCCCTTAGTTCGTAATGCCATATATAAAACGGGTCTTTAGTTTATACTATTATAGCGTTTTCGATTAGTTAGATGCAGTATTAGTATTTTTTATTTATTTATTGTCAGGGTGCCGTTAATATTTAATTACTATATAGAAGTATATATTACTATATATAAGAAGAAACAGATATATAGAAGTCTAATATATCTGTTTATGCTCGGTGCTAATATCCTGGCTGTCCTATCGATTTTCAAATATAAATATAAGTGTTAAATGTTTATTTTGAAATATTTATGAAACGATATTGATTTTGAAAAGAATGTAAGAAAAGTAATAAATTCCATGTATTATATAATTCTTTAAAGTGAGTTTATTTTGTATCCACTGTAACACATAAAAAAAATAAATTTCAAGCTATAACAAGGTGGTAATGCGGTCCCTCTTCTGTATAGCAATATCTGCATTTGCTGCATCATGATATCTCCTTAAATTTTGCTGTCGCATCTGTCTATCATCATTTATCATGTCTTGAATAACATCATCATTACGTAGGAATCAGAAATTATGAAGTACACAGCATGCTAAAATAAAGTTTGTAGCTCTGTTAATACGTTTGAGTCTCAATTTTAGCAGGCATCGCCATCGTCCCTTTAAAAGTCCAAATGCGTATTTTATGACAGTTCTTGTTGAACTATGGACAAAGTTATGACGCCTTTGAGTCAGAGTGAGATTTTCATAGCCTTTGGAATTGAAAGAATAGTATATGTATAAACTGTAAGGAACATTTTCTACCTAATATAAGAATAAAAAATTAAATATAAAAATCGACTCTCGAAAATTTCAAATACAAAAAATAAATAGGCTAATGAGAGTAAACTCGCTGTTATTAATGCGAAATTATAAAAAAAAAATATATATATTTGTTAACAATCAAAAAATATCAAATATAAAATACTATACGTTTCGGCCTAACATCTGGGCCATCTTCAGTAGTAAATTCACAAAAAAGGCATGGATCAGTAAGAAAGTGGTCACTCTCAACGTCAAACAATCAAATCCACATGGTTGGTAGGTCATGTGCAAACGACTAGACGTAAATCTAAGTAAAAATTAAAAATTAATGACAATGATTGAAGAAAGATGAAAATGAACACTCACCGACAAATCCATGATTACAAGATAAAGTTGTATTAAAATAATAATAAACCATCATCGGAACCACAACTAATTAATATAAAAATAGTCAAGAGATAAAAATCCGAAGATAACATTGTGGTGGTCAAGATTTGAATGTAATAATTGTAAACGGAACAACTCTAAGAGGAGCAACGATGTATCGATTTATCTCGCAATAACCTCGATAAACACAAATATTCAATAAAATCGTATACATACAGTTATAAGCGCATGCGTGTAACCAACGATACAGGAATCGATATAATTCTTCCAATCAGATAACAGAGATCACACGGATAAATCGAAGTCATAATACGTCACAAATTCAAAATAAAATTCACCGAAATTTATTAAGTAAGGAAACATAAGAATGGTGCAAAAATTCAGTGTCTGATTGTAAATTCAAGCTGTGATTTTGTAAATTTATATGTAACATTTCTGCTATTTGTCTTTTATATGAAAATCTTTCATTGTCTAAAATCTCTACATCGTTCCAAACAAAATCGTGATCAAATTTAATTCTATGTTCTGAGACAACTGAGAAATTGCCACTGGTCTTTCTAATATCATTCCTATGCTCCTTAATCCGAGTGTTCAATGTCCGCTTCGTCTGACCAACATATGTGGCATCACAATCCTTACAATGGATTTTATATACCACATTCTTTTTCGACATCCTGCCCAATCTATCTTTCTGTGCCTTTATACAACAATTCAACTTATTAAGGCTAAAAAAGGCCATATTAACATTAAGATTTTTCAATAAGCGTTTAAGTCTACAAGAAACACCTGCAACAAAAGGAAATGGGAACCATGATATAGGAGGTTCATCAGCAGTAATAGCAATGTATAAGCCAATCATATTAAAGAATTTTACAACAGTTGCAAAGCTGCTTTTTCTGCTGAACGCACCCATCAACAATCGCTTTCAGACCTGTTTGTTAGTGACTTTCTTCTTCTTATGCATAATCTATAATTGCAATAGTAGTAGCGGATGAGACTGTAAGAGTAAGAAATTGACCAATCACGGTCGAATGTGAGACGAATAATCGACCATGATTGGTCAATTTCTTACAAGAACATACATCAGATGAAAACAAAAAAATAAGATGATAACAATGATTAATAGTAAAAAAAAAGAAGAAAAAAGAAAAGAAATTAAAACATATTTGTAACATTAATTTTGATACTTGTTACTTGTTTACTTTAGATGTGTATTTTATTTATTTATTTCAGTTATATATATTTGTTTATTTTCTTAACATTACATTATTTCTTAATTGTTATTTATTATTTCAAAATTGCAATTTTTAACGTTATATTAAAAAGTATGAATAGTTTTTAATATAAATACGGTGTTTTTATTTCCAAGTAACTTATTACATTTAAAATTAGCGCGTTACATCATTGGGCAAATTTGATTGGTTAAAATTTTAAGCAGCAATCATTATGCGCATTGTTTGCCCGATATTGTATCGATCGACAAACTTTTCAAACACGTTAATTGGTTATAGGACAGAGAGATCCGAGAATCTCTCTGTTTTACAGCTAATAAACAGGCTTGAGAAGCCTTCTTGTACGACACATGAAATATCGGCCTTTCACCTTATATATTTCCACCATGGTAGTTCCAATCCATAGATCATATATAAGATTCCGATCCGACGAACCACCCGACCGTTATGGACGCGTTTCGGTTCGGGTGCTCTTCATTGTATACTTTTAAAAGTGTTGCCGACTTTGACCGTGCATTTCATCGCATAGATACGTGTTCGCGAATTGAGCTCGTCTCGATTGTTCGTCGCTTGCACTATTCGACGACCTGGGCTCTTATGGCGCGCGTTATTGCGGCGGCGTGACGACGTCGTAGATCGATAGATGCAGACGTTCAGAGACCGGTCGAGACTCGAGCAACGCCATTTTCACGGGCATTACATCATCCATTTTCGCGGACCTCAGTGGCCTAGTTTCTGCCTGTTTTGGCGGCCTAACCAATAATACAAGAAGAAGAAGCCCGGAGAGCGGTCAAACAACGCCATTTTCGCGGACATTGTATCACCCACGTTTCGCAGACCTCAGCAGCGAGGTTTCAGCCTGTTGTGGCTGCCTGGCCAATAAATTAAGAAGAAGTAGACTGTCATGTCCTCTCTCAGGTATTGTCAGGAAGGACGATAAAATAAGCCCTCAGACAGCGAGGAATATCCATATAAACGTCGCCAACAGACAGGTCTAAATGACGATGTTTCGAATAGATCTCTCGTACGCTTCTTCAAATATTGAACTATCTTCAGAGCTTAAGAAATTCTGCCGCTTTTAATATTTTATATATACATTACTCAGTATTGACAATCATTTCTGTTTATATATATTATTTAAATTATTTATATATATGTAATATATATCCATTCCTGATACGAATTAGAATTATTAATTCATGCAGTTTTATTTAAAATAAAATCTTTTTTAACTCTTAAATCGTTTCTCTAAAAATTAAAATTAACTTAAATTTTTCAGAAAACCTCTTGTTAACTGTATAATACGGGGTGAAAGTTGGGATCTAACTCGGGTTATGTTAATTATGAATTGATCTCTTTTACACGGAGTCACTTATTATCCCAAAATTGATTATTATAAAATATTGTTTTTGATAAACATATTATTCCAGCCACTGTATACTTATACTACAATCATGTCGTTAATGATGGCCACAATTTAAGCTTTTGTCAAAGCTGAACACAATACTTTTGCTGTCCAAAGTTTTGAATTATTTGACGAATTATGTGAGAACATGTTGTAATATCTCCCCATGTAAAACATCTTGTCCATATGTGCTTTACGATCATTACTAATAAATCTACAGACAGACTCGTGAAAAGATGATTATTTTTATTAGTTAACTGGCAAGATTAAAGAAAAAAGCTCTTGTAAAGCACAAATTAGTGGAATCTATCGTTGGTAAGAGATCTTAATAAATATTTCATTAGTCATTAACAGGACAACTTAATAATCTTGTGATTTCCAGATATGTTATTCAGAGTCATATGATGAGTAAGCCAGAGGAAGACAATGATTGTACAAATGTAGATAATGAAAATACTGTTTTAACAAGCGCTATTCAAACTTTAGACTTATTCGTGATGCATTTGCCGCCAGAAAAGTTAATTCCACATTCGGTAAGCTTCAGAATCTTTTTTTATGTTAAATATTTATTAATTATAATATATATATAATTTTACATGTTAAATTTTTTATTTCATAATATTACAGACAAAATATTATTGTGAAAGAAAATTTGTTTATAGAATTATATCGTATGATACTTTGAGATTCCGTTCTATTGAAATTGATCTATACAAATGACGAATGTATGCTTTTTTATCTCTATAAACAATTAATTATTCTTGATATTTTCAATATTATTCTTTCTATCAAATTTAACTCTTGTAATGAAGAAATATTAATTTTACAGCTGTAACATATCGAATCTGGACTCCGAAATACAAGTGATTACGTTAAGAAGACGTCATACGTGGCTATAGCTGTAATAGCAAACAATTAGGCTGAATATATTCATTCAAACTACTTTCTTCTTGCGATGTATTTACGAAGGAATCTCCTATCCTTCACTCATTATGCGCAATGTCGCACTTTACACTTTAAGGCAATACTTCGAACATCTGCAACCAGAGATTTCACAGTACTCATCCGAGTTATTGCCCGTATGATTTGAGTATTTTAGTCAAATATGCTTGTACAATAAACAAAAGGAGAAAGAACTGCATGTTGTCAGCCGTATGTTCTATGCTCTCGAATTGTTTTGTGAAAATTTAAACGAGAGTATCTTGCCATACTTAACTAAGTTAATTACCTATTTCTTACTTCTTACTACTTTTTACCATCGGTTGGTTTTATTACTTGTTATGTTTTGTCATTATTTGTCAGGAATATATTTTTAAAAATATAATATTTTGTAGTTTTAGTTGGATATGTGAAAACAAACTTCAAACTTATTTTTCATTCATAATCAATTTAAAGGAAGTACGATTTGGAAAAACATTTCCCTGTAACCTTTTATAACAGGTTTAAATCAAATTTGGTATTGAATTAAAGACATTAATAATACTTACATAGTTCTGTCGTACATTTGAATATTATCAAATCTTTTATTAGTAGTTAAAATCTCAACAACACCATTTAATTTTTCAAATTCTGTGAACGGATCAATTTGTTTATTAACACCATAAGAATGATCATGTTCCTTTTTTGTACCAATATCATTAGGCATTTTTTCTAGAAATAATTAAAAATTAAAAAATTTACAGAAAGATAAACAAATTTAAATTCAAAAACGATATAAAACATGTAATACATTGACTTACAGAAAACAGATGAATATAGAATCTAGTACAAGTATTAGGGAAAAATCTTTCTTGGAGAGAGATGAGAGAGAGAGAGAGAGAGAGAGAGAGAGAGAGAGAGAGAGAGAGAGAGCGCTGGAAAAGAGCGCAATCTCAGGGAGACTAAAAAGCAAGAGTAAAATACAAGTACAAGACAAGATAAAATAAAAGGTATAAAAAGAATTTTAAAAATATCGAAAATTACCTGTCATTACTTTCGGACTATTCTTATTTACGACAACTGTAACCTTTCTTTTACTATTCTTACGAGACATAATACTTTCGATCCGATATAATATACGATTCAATTAATTGGGTTTCAAGCTGCAAAATGCTTTATTAAAGATCTTGGTATGATGAGTTTTAATAAAGTTATTCTACCTTGAAAGTTGTTTATTTTTGCAGAGTGAAACATGTATTGCATTATATTGTACATTGAACATAAACAAAATTAAAATACTTAAAAATTCTTTTTTAAATGGTGCTCAATACGATCAATATTTTATTTCCACGCAACAACTTGAACATGTATACCGTTGTCATTATTCAAGAAAGATTTTAAAGGCTTGTATTGCTGTTTATCTCCAAGATAACGTGGAGATTCCATCCTCATAACCTACCATCTCTCTCTCCTCTCTCTCTCTCTCTCTCTCTGTTTTAACAAGCGCTATTCAAACTTTAGACTTATTCGTGATGCATTTGCCGCCAGAAAAGTTAATTCCACATTCGGTAAGCTTCAGAATCTTTTTTTATGTTAAATATTTATTAATTATAATATATATATAATTTTACATGTTAAATTTTTTATTTCATAATATTACAGACAAAATATTATTGTGAAAGAAAATTTGTTTATAGAATTATATCGTATGATACTTTGAGATTCCGTTCTATTGAAATTGATCTATACAAATGACGAATGTATGCTTTTTTATCTCTATAAACAATTAATTATTCTTGATATTTTCAATATTATTCTTTCTATCAAATTTAACTCTTGTAATGAAGAAATATTAATTTTACAGCTGTAACATATCGAATCTGGACTCCGAAATACAAGTGATTACGTTAAGAAGACGTCATACGTGGCTATAGCTGTAATAGCAAACAATTAGGCTGAATATATTCATTCAAACTACTTTCTTCTTGCGATGTATTTACGAAGGAATCTCCTATCCTATCCTTCGTTAGTAGTAAAAACCTGAACACCATTTAATTTTTCGAATTCTGCGAACGAATCAATTTGTTTATTAATACCACAAGAATGGTCCTTGTCTCTTTCAATGTCAACAGACATTTTTTATAGAAAAACAATTAAAAATTAAAAAATTTACAAAAAGGTAAAGAAATTTAAATTCGAAAACGATATAAAACATGTAATCCATCCACCTACAATAAACAGACGATTATAGAATTTAGTGCAAGCATGAGGAAATAATCTTCCTTCGAGAGAGAAAGAGAGAGAGAGAGAGAGCTGAAAAAGAGCGCAATCTCAGGGAGACTAACTAAAATCAAGAGTAAAACACAAATACAAGCTATGTTTTAACCTGTCAGAAAGCGCACATTCCACAGTACACAGTTCTGATAGGTTAACATTTTTATATTTAATATCTGTTCCTAATATTTCTCCTATTGTGCGCAGACCCTTACAACAGAATATAAATTTTATTATATTAATTAATACGTTTGCGCGCTAATACCATTTCAGTTGAAAAATCTGTATTGTTTATAGATAGTTGTATGTATTTTTATAGATAGAACTACATTTTCAATGATTTCATTAAATGTTATGAAAAACAATTTACATGTGATGTTAATTATGTTGACATAGTGAGATGGCGCTTCAATCTTACCTAGTTCTTTTTAGTTCCTTTTTATTTTAACGTACCTATATCACAGTATAAGTAAGTACAGTAGTTTCACTCCGTGTCGGTACCTTTGATCTATGTGTCCTACAGTCAGCCATGTTGTTGGTTGTGCGAGGCCTTTGTTTTCACTGCACACATCGACACCACAGTGACACACAGTATCCATACGTGACATCGAGACCATGGGATAAAAGTTGTGCGATTCGCGCACCCATAAATTTTGGAGAGTGAAACTACTGTACTTACCTATACTGTGCCTATATTGTCTAACCTTTCTTTTATCTCTATGGCTGTGGTCAAAGTCTAGCTACAAATGATTTGGAGCGTTTAATAGACCAATCAAAAAAAAGAATTTTACAAATTGGCCAATTAAAAAATGCTTCAACACATTTGTAGGATCGCATTGACCGTACCCTATGTTATGCTTTCTCATTATTACTCATTTCATGTTCCTTATAAGTATTATTCAAAAAACTGTCTAAGAGCCCCAACACACACTTTTGCATAATGCAATAAACCATATACATAACGCATAAACCATATACATAAAGAATTTGATTGGTCCATTGACTCATGCATAAGAAAATGGACCAATGAAATTCCTTATGCACATGCTTTATGCGTTATGCAAAAGTCTGTGCTCCCCGCTTTATGTGTAATAACTGTTGTCTTTGTACTTATCTGCTGTGCATTGTTCTGTACTAACATAAGCCTTATTCAATAAAAAGGTTAAATATAACAACAAAAAACACTACGGTTGCCACAACTAGAAATAATGATAATTTTCGCCCATCAATACAATTGATCTGGAGACACGGTAGTGTCTCGGTGCTAAACCAGACGTAGTGATTGTGACATTCGTAATGGGCTTTCTACAATAAGCCATAAGTCATAAATCGGAAGTAAGTAACTAAAAATTGACGACTGTGATTGGTCCATTTCTAGTTTATGACTTATGATTTGTGACTTATGGCTTATTGTAGAAGGCCCATAAGATGGACATATCTTAACAGCCACATAGTAGTTTTATAAGATATGCCAATATTGCGGTTATCACAATCATACTAATTCTTATAAACAAAAAATGTATTCTTATTAATTACTACTAATTGTTAGTATTAGCAATAACGCCAATAACTTATATTTCATCATTGTTACTTAATGTTTTTGTTATTTATAAATAATAAAGTAGTAAAGACAAACACACGTATCTACTAAGTTGTACTCACAATCAGTATTTGAAAAATCAGAATTTTGGATTCGGCAATAACCAATGAATCCAAAATTCTAATGTTTCGAATACTAGAACAGCATACTAATATGAGCAATATTAATAACGCGTGCAAATATTAGTAATATAGTTCATCTAATGAATATAAAAACATAATGCGTAAAAAATGTATTGAAATATCTCTTTTATTTTAACAATTTAATAAAAATTAAGATAATCTTGTAAAATAAGTATTTATTTTACAGCATATAGATACTATAAGAGTTCAATATTTTATTATATAAAACGGAAAATTTTGCAGCTGTATTTTCTTGTACATAATTAATTTCAATTTCAATACATTTTTTTAAAATTACCTCCAGTAAACGATTAAAATTTGTCATGATCATTTCCAAAAAGGTTTCCTGTACGACAAAGATACTTAAGCAAGCTTTCTCCCATAGATTTTTTTTCTTTTTTCTTCATAATATCACAATGCTGTCAAATAATTGCCTTCTTTTTTTTTTATCTTTTTCTCAGTTGCCTCAATCTTTTGCGCAGGTGATCACTATATGAAGTTTCATTATTTCTTTTCCACTTTCTTTCTTTGTATTCTTTTCGTTCATCTTCTGCTGTTGTCAAATCAGAATTGCTCTCAACATTTTTTATTTGCACTGGTAAATCTATATTAGAATTAATATCGGTATCTTTCTCTGGTAAGTTTATGTTAGAATTAATATCGGTATCTTTCTCTGATAAATCTATATTAGAGAGAATTAATATCGGTATCTTTCTCTGGTAAATCTATGTTAGAGAGAATTAATATCGGCATCTTTCTCTAGTGGTAAATACAATACAGGTATCGCATTATCTTTAAGTCGACGCGTCTTTGTATAAGATAATACCAGGTCATCTGAAAAATGCATTGAGCAAATTCTTAATTTGGCTAATGCTTCTTTTGTTGCATCTGTAACAAAAAATATTTTTTAATTTTTTAATTTAAAATATATATAATTATTCCATGTCATATAAGTTACGAATAACGAAATATATATTACAAAATAAATCATTTTACTCACTAATCATATCACTTCGTTGAATGGCTTGTAACCAGTCACATACTTTTGTATAATTTGTCGGCAGCTTATGCGATGGAATATCACTTTCTCATGTGCACCCTAGTACACAACACTTCCAAACCATTTTTATTACACTGAAACTTACTTAGAAATTATTATTTAATTATTCTAAATGTATAATTAATATTGCTAAAATATGCTGTAATACACACAAAATAAAAATATAAACCTTACAAACTTAATCTTTTCTTAAGTAAATGATTAATAACAAAAGTGATAAAATAAATAAAAAAATAATGAAAACTTAACGCAAACTTAATCTTATCCTAAGTAAATGATTACTAATAAAAGTAATGAAATAGATAAAAAATAATTTAAAAAATCTCTCTTATCGTCTCGAAATTGTTGCTGGATATTCAAGCACAAAACTAATGGCGGCACCGCACCTTTCACGATGTTGTCTGATCCCTTACTTGAGGGTCCCTAGAATAGGTCTGCTGCCTCTGGAGTAAGCGAAGGCAATACGGCAAGGAAAACACAATGGAAGCGTCTCGAGTTTCATGAGCTGCTCAAACTGGCTATTTCAGCGACAAAAAAGATCACATGATCAAAATTGATGAATATCAAGCGTCAATTTGGATCACATGATCCTTTTTGTCACTGAAACAGCCAGTTTGAGCTCATGAAACTATACCTAAAAGGAAGAAAGATGAACTGGTGCAAAAGTTTAATCAAAAAGAACAGACCTAAGTTAGAATGAAACAAATTATATTTGTCTCGTCGTATTTTCCCTCTTACAATCGAATGAGAGGGGATACAGTCGAGATACTTAACTATAATTAGTAAATTTTTAGAGATTACCTTAGAGTAGCTTGTTCTATAATAGAGTTGCAAGCCGTAAGCCGTATAAGAATTTAGTCAATCATGATCGATTATTCTTTTCATATTTAACTATGATTGATTAATTTCTTATGGTTTACGGCTTGCGACTGTATTGTAGAACAGATCTAACCCCGGATCTACAATATGCGTTTTAAGCTTTAAGCCATAAGAAATCAATGAATTACGGTCGAATTCGAGGAGAATAATTAATTATGATTTGTCCATATGATTTATAGATCCGAGGTAAACGCTCCCTTGCTTCCCTTATACATGGTCTACAACGGATAACAGCAGTAGTTGATTATAAAGAGTAGAAATCGATCAATTCACATTAGTTGAATGTGAGAAGAATAATTAACTATTTGATTGGTCGATTTCTACACCTACTTCTTAATCAACTACTGGGGTGCGTTCTGTATACCGGAGTGTTCATCCAGACGAAGTGTCACATACCGAGATTGATTCGTGAAACGGAACAATTCTGAAATATTTTTGCGTTAGGTTAGGTTGTATCCAACAAGTTGACCTAAAAATACAAAACTTTTAATATATATTTTTGGTATATATATTTAAATATATAAAATTGATGGAATATAAACATTATAAACCTAATTTAACCTACAACACACTTCTACATATATTTCATCATCACGCTTTATTACATTATTCTAGTCGTTCTGCGCATGCGAGACGTTTCTCGTCGGAGACTCGAGCACGATGAAAAGTTGTCGTCCGGGCGTTTGGAAATTGTAAAACAGAACGCGGTTATGATGTCACATCTTGGTAAACGGAACGGTTTTGGACAAAAAGTTGTCGTCCGAACGTTCATTCGGAACGCACCTCTGCTACTGTCCATTGTAGACCATGCATTAGGATTGGTTTACACTAGATCGGAATCTGTTAACCTTTTCCATAATCTGTAAGAATTGACGAATCACATCGAATGACAAGAAAGAATAATCGACTATGATTGATCAATTCTTAGGACGTGTTCATCAGGGCCAGAAAATTCCTATTGTATTTTTTTACCCGTTTTTTCAGCGCCTCTACAAAGTGTCTATGAAGCATCGAACTAAAAATCAATGTGGCTGCGACTAGTTATGGGAAAATTTGAAAAAATCAATTTTAAAAATCGATTCTCTTTTCTTTTAAGAATAGTTTTCAGAATCGATTTATTGACTTGGAAAAGAATCGATTCTAAAAAAATCGTATAAGAATTTTTTACTCTTTTCTACATATTAATGTATAATTATCGCTTTTTGGAAAAACGAGGAAAATTTTGGAAAGTAAAGGAGACTAGAAAAATCAGGAAAAGTTTAAAATAATTCAAATTATATATTATATTTATATATATATATTTTTTATATTTATATATATTTATACATATATGTATATATTATATATTTTTTAAAATTTGTAATAAAAACATTTTTCAATCAAAACAAAAAAATTGCTGCTGCACTCTGCAACTAATTAAAAATGAAATCAATTTTTGCATTAGCCAATCTTTTTTGCTGCGATCAGTGCGATCACCAATATTCCTTATTTAATGAACTTAAAAATATAATTTTAGAAACCCGTTTTCCTTTTAACCGATTGCGTTTCTCAGTAATGATATTGCTGGCTTTACTGAATAGTCTTTCACATGGCACGGAGGTACCAACAATGACTAAATATTTTAAAGCTATTTCGTATAAATGTGGATACAGTGCTCTCAAATGCTGCCAAGTTTTTAAAGGACACTCTTTTCTATTTCCCAACAATCAATTAGGCTGTATTTTCATGCACTCATAGCTGACGCTCAATGCTCGATACGAGCATCAAACTAATCACGTGATCTTCTTCTTAGCGAGAGAAAAGCCCTCATCAACCAATAAATGCAATTTTACGACTACATTCAAGTACAGGAATATTTGCTATCGTTAGAGAATTAATGTATAAAATAAATGTTTTTATTTTATTCTTTATAATAAGTAGATTATCTTTTGTTATAGCACGTTTTGTTTCTGTCTTATTATATAAAGAGCATGAATTCATTAAATCAAACATATCATTAAAAGATTTGCAAAATTTTGCAGTTGCATCACTTACTGAATTACTTAACACTTGTACTGTTAAATTTACTTTCATTTTTTTATTTGAAAAGTCTACATGTCTTTGTGTTATTTTATTAGCAGTATGCAATCCCTCGAATTCTTGCAATTCGACCAATTTTGTAATAAATTTCCAGTTTATTGTGTTACCATTTTTATCTGTGACATCTCCTTTCTTAAAAGCATTTTTAATAAGTTTTATCATATGACATGCGTCATAGAATATACGAATAAGTTTAGATTTATCAGCGGGATGCGTAAAGTATGGGACAAGCTTTTCTACCTGTTTCTGTTTCAATTGTGCACCTAATGTTTCGCACATAGCAATGTTTGAAGAGGCTCCGTCAAATGTTATACTTACTACATCAATAGTGTATTTATGAAGGACACATAAAATATTACTCATTAAATCAGCTTTTTCACGACCATTTAATGATTTAATAAGATAATATGCAATCGGAACTTTAAAATGACTATTTATACAAACTAGCATGAAAAAGAGCTTGAGTCGCAAGCGGTATGTTATCATTAATGTATGTATACCTGTATTAATAAACCCATGCGAATCTTTTCCATCCCAATCAATATGTCTTTTAATGCTCATTTCATCTAGGGTTAAATTAAATATGAGCTTTTTATTGTTTTCTTGTGCAATTTGCATCTTACAGAGTACATTTTGTATTGCTTTATCAGATATTCCTGAATTACAATTAACACTTCGCATCCACTTTCTCAGAATTGATGGATGGGGAAGACATTTAAAAAATGTTTTTCGGACATAGGAATAGGCTGCTGGAAAATGAAAATGAAGCGATGATGCAAAAGTTCTCAGACTTCGTGGAAATTTTTTGTTTCGCTTCTTATTTAACATTATTTTTACTATCTCTGCTATAGGAGAGGACGTTAAGTTCTAGAAAAAATATTTTCAAAAAAAATATTACAAAAAGTATTTAAAAAAGTAGATATTAAAATGAAATCTTGAAATCTTTCTACATAGATGTTAGTATATATCTAGTATTGTTAGTATTAATTAATAAATGTATATTTTGCAATTGTGGAAGTTTTCTTTGCGCTTATTGCATTAGACATTTAAATGTAGAGAAATAGTTTGATTTTAGCAAAGAAAACTTCTAATAATTACAGATTTTCTATATATAAATTATTACACATATATATTATATACACATATGTATATTACTTTGTATACATTTCTTTTTTTTGGAAACTATTTTGACAGAGTTGCAATACTTCCCTTTTCTATTATATATATACACACATACATAGATTTTCTTAATAACAAAACACATAAATTACGTAAATTCGATAAATCGCATATCTAAGAATTACTTTATAGTAATATAAACTTTATGAAATTCAGTCATATCGTAGTAAACTTTAACATTAACATTAGATATTATTATACAACTATATTAATTATATAACTTGCTTTTTAATTACACAGCTTTATGCAGAGTTAAAACCTATAGTAAAGTTTATATATATTGTATGTATATATTTATATTTTATATTGTGTGTGTACATATTTCTATTTCACAAAATTTAACAGGTATATATACATATATTGTATTAGATGTATATTCTTATTAAAGATTTATATAATTCAAGAATGATGAATATTTACTTTCTTAGCATTAATTAATATTTATTATCATAAAAAATCTATCATATATACTCATAAGCATAATAAACATTTACCTCGAGATCATCAATAGCATTAGCTGATAATAAATTCTTCTTTTTTAAATGCTGCAACATAATTTTCATTGTTAGTTGTCTATTTTGTGACCGTCTATATTTTTTCATCCAATTTGCATGTTCCTGCCTATTGTAATGAACATATTTTAAAAATCCAGTCCATTTTTCTTTCTTACAAAAATCTGCTTCTGTGAAGCATATTGTACTAAGACTAAAAGTTTTTACAATAATTTTCTTTTTTGTATATCTGTCTGTCTGGTATGATAATAGTTTTCTGAAAGAAAAAATGTATTTACAATATTTACAAGGCATACTACATATGATAACACTTATAATTGTATTATTTTTGGATGTCTTACCTTTTGTTATCTATCTTACTGTTCACGAATACTGGTTCAACATCATTGTTATTGTTATTATTGGAATCATTTTCATTTAATTGTTCAATTTCTATTATTTCGTCTACGGTTTCACTACAAAATTGTACATACATGTCATACATACATGCATGTTAATTAAAATATTTTAATATAGTTTTAATCTATTAACACTTTTTATTACAAAATGTAACCTTTTGTGTTGTCTATGAGAGGGATTTGCTGTATTCTTTAATCTCCTTGATTTTGACTTGATATTATGAGTATTATAATCACTTTTAATCTGTGAAATGATCGCTGCAAACCCTTGCAGTTTTACTGACAGTATAATCAATTATATCTATCCATTTCTTTCTTCTTTCTTCATTTTTTGGTAAACTATAAACATATACATTACACATATATTATTCATTTATGCTGAGAAATGTTTAAAGAATATAAAAAAGAAGCAAAAGCTTGATATAATTTATCTAATTATATTGTTACGTTTACAATTAGATGTAAAGTATGATTACCTATGAAACGATCGTTGCACAAGTGGGTTGTATGATTTCTTGCAAATACAGCAATTCATTTTTGTTTTACAAATTTCTGCTTCCTATATTTTAGCTTTCTTAATTATCGCTGTACAACCTACGAAAAAGAGTAAAGGTTAGGTGTGGTTATATCCCCACCAGTGTTGCCAGACGATAGGGAACGAAGTGTAGTACCAACTGAAAGAAATAGTCGTATTAATGTCGTACCGAAGGTGTGAATAGTAGTACGAATAGTGGTACATACATTTTACCTTTTTTTTTTGCCCCCCACCTACTTTAGCAGGAAATTCGTTTGTATATGGCGGAAAATATATATTATTATTATGTGCATTTATTCTTCGTATGCTTCTGGAATTATAGAATATAAAATACAATTACAAAATTATTTCTGTATCGCTACTGCTGTCCTCTTCTATTTCGTTTCGTTTCTTCTGTTTTGGATATAACACGTTTGCCGTCATTCTTTCAAACATTTTTTCTGTTGGCTTAAATGTTACGCAGTTTGACTTTTCTTCTTCTGCGCATTGTCGCTTTACACACTCTGTTGCTAATATAGAGCCGTTCACTGTTTCTATTTTTAACTTATTTCTGTACTTCGTTTTAATTAAATTTACCTGTACAGTTGTTTTACATTTAAATTTAGTAATTAAGAACAATATATTTATACTACACATTTCAAATAATATATTTTTATATTCAAAAACATTACCCGACTAAAAATTCGTTCGCAATCTGCATTCGAATGTGGTAGGCATAGAGCATCAAGAGCAAATCTTGCTAATTCATCAAATTCGGACTTTTCTGCAGCACCTTTTTTATTCGAAACTTCGTTCCAAAATATATCGACATCGACTTCTTGGATATCTTTCGAGAACGTAGCAGCAAACAATGGGAGACGGCGCCATTGATCATCTATTTTTTGCATAGTACAACTATTGTAATTCACAATTCTCGGAATTGTGTTCATTAGATTAAAAAGTGATGGAGTTGTATCACGATAGGACAAAGACAACGCGTTTTTTGGCTTCAGTGCCCTAAGTTTTTGCAAAACAGAGTTTTGCATATCATATCGTTTTGATATTTGACGTGCTGATATCTAAACATAATTATACATATACATAAATAACACAAATGGAAGTAAATACATAACATTCGTTATACATAATAATAAATAAAACCTTCAGAAATTCCTTGCACCTCCACAAAAATTCCTCCTTCTCTTTTTTGTTTATAATTTCATTTTCATCATTCATGACTTGAAATACTTTAATGCCAACATATATTTGTGAATTTGGAATACATTCATCTTCCTTGTAAGGATTAATATCAGAAAGTGGAGTTTTCATTACGTAATCTCTCTTCATGTAGCATAGAAGAATTTCTTGATACAGATTTATTATTTTGTCATGTAATTCAGTAATAACTACTGCATCAGTTTGAAAAAAACGATTGAAATCCGTAAACTTTGGTAAGATCCACTCAAGGAAGAAAAAATATAATTTTGTTAATGGATTATTAAGTTCTTTAAAAATTTGTTCTGCTGCCTGCAATCGTTCACTTAACCATCTATCGGTGAAAAATAATCTTAAAGCTTCCCATTGTTCAATAATGCGCTCCACGACCATTATTAAAGATAGCCAACGTGTTTGAGATGGATGTAACATCTTATGTGGTGCCACATTAACAAATTCTTGAAATTGACGAAACTGACATTGTCTTTTTGCACTTAATTTAAAAAAATTGTATATATTTCTTGCTAAATCTTCAAGTGATCGTGGAAGACTTTTGCAAGCTTCACTTGCACATAAATGTGCGGAATGACATACGCACTTTAAAATAAAAATATTAGGACATTTTTCTCTCAATCTACTAGCTACAGAATTATATTGACCCATCATTGTACTACATCCATCTGCGGCAAATCCTATCATATTTGAAAGAGGTATTGAATAATTATCAAGAGACTGTATTATGCCTTTAAATAAATTTTCTGCTGTTGCACCTTCGTTGGCATTGGTTGAATCAAAAATTTTATATAATTCCCAAAATTCACTGACAATTTTTTTTGAATTAGTATTATTAAATCTCACTACAACACAAGCGGTTTTAATGCAAGATATATCAGTTGATTCGTCTGTAAGAAGACTAAATTTATTATTTCTTAATATCTGAGCTAATTTCTCTTTATGGGAAGCACCGATAACGTTTACTGCAATACTAGTTGCTTTTGTTCTTTTCATATTAATATTTCCTATTACAGGATGATCATGGCAAATATCTTTTAACAAATCTGTTAAATGATCAGCCAATCGAAAAGGCAGATTATGTTCCATTAAAAATCCAACCAATTTTATTTCAGTTGACATAATAGCCTTACTTGCAGATTGAATTTTCCTAGTAAAACATGAAATAGATTGCTGTTTCACAGTTGCAGCTTGCATTTTCTCTTTATGTCTCACACTTTTCCCATGTCGCTTAAGAACAATTATATCTGAATTCAGTGAGCAATGGCAATACATACACTTTGCTCTATATTCATTACTTTGGTCGCGTTTTAACCAAGCACTGAATTCTGGTTGAGAAAGCCATTTATTTGTAAATTTTTGCTTTCGATGTTTTGTTTTTAATCGTTTTTTCCCATTTTTTGATGCACTGTAATTAAATCCACATTTAGTAATTCAAGAATTTTGTAAAATAATATTACATTTTTATAATCTATTCTTAAAGGACTATGCATAATAAATGAAATAGCCCAATGAACAAAATGTCTAAAATTGGAAACAACTTCAAGATATCTTTAAGAATTTTTTAAGACACATCTTAAGATATTTATTAAAAAAAACTCTGAAAAATATCATAAAGTTCTTACATATGCCGTCAATTTTATAAACATTCTGCTCATTGAGAGAGAACAAGAGAGAGACACAGAGAATAAGGAATTAAATATTTTAATATAAATTCAAATATATCATACCTTTCCTTTTCTACAGATGAATCATATGCTGATAAAGTTTCATCTGCATCATTACTATCACTGAATTCTATCTATAATATTAATTAAAATCTTTATTTAGTTCTTTAAATCAATCTCTAGTAAATTTATGTTGTCTGGGTTACATTTACAGCTTACAACCATTATAAATCCATATGTTTATTAACTCAATTAGAAGAAATCGTTCATTAAAAATAACTAACCTCCATTATGTTTCTAAAATTTATAAACACTAATTATGTCTATAAATTTATAAACACTTATGTCTATAAATTGTACTCTTATGTTTATTATTGCACTCTATGTGACTGGCTTTTGTTGCGTATATGTGTAACTGAACTGGCTGTCTATATAATGACATGTCGTAAACTGCGCAATGCAATTGTTTTATTATCCGTTATATCATTTGAAATCGATATTGTTAAATTTTGAATTTCGTCGTTATCTCTTTAATTCTTAGTCTTGTCATTAAAATTCTTTCTTATATGAATTTTTATTGTCTATTATATTTTTTAGTTTTTCTTTGTCTATATAGATACGGAAAGCATATTGAAAGCATTTAAATATATTTAGCGCCAAATAAAACGCACTTTTCAACAAGAAATGTGATTTGTTGGATGCAAAGATAAGAACCAATCAAATTTGTTTGCTGTTTAATCGCTGAATAGTTATGGTACGTTTCCACTGAGCGCGTCACGCGTCGTGAAAAAGAAAAAGAGAGAAGTTAATATATATATATACACAATCCCTCTCTTTCTCTTCTTCGACAACGCGTCATGTGACGCGCTCAGTGGAAACGTACCATACGTCTCTTTTGGAATGTTACTAGTGTAGGAATCAATTAGACAAACTTACTAAGTTAATGGCAGTGTTTGATTGGCTGAGTTTACTATAATTCCTACACTAATTACACTTAATAGGTAAAATGTAACCAAGGTTTATTTTTTTCTAAAAATATTGCATAGATGTATTGAATAATAGTACAAATAGTAGTAAAAGATTAAATAGTAGTACAAAACGGCGTACGACACCCTTTGCAGTCGTATGTCGTACAAAAAACGAAATAGTCGTACAGGTACGACTATAGTCGTACGTCTGGCAACACTGATCCCCACTAACGTTTCCCCCACTTTCTCCTGTTAGAGAGAGAACGAAAAATCTAATTGTGTTCCCTCCTTCTCGTACGTGCCAGCCATCGATATCCTTGTCTAGCATATGGAAATGCTCGGTCTATCTATACTATGTCTATGATTTCTCCAAGATCGAAGCAGGTTAAGGCGATGCTGGACCTGCCTGTATTATCGATAAAACAAGCGTTTTTGACGTTTTTGTTCCTCTAACCTCTTCGCAGTAGTTTCACAGAATAAAAATTCCTTCTCCACGATTAAAATATCCGAGCTAATGTACCTGGCCCTGGTGTATATTGTGTCCAAAGCTGGAAAAAGTATGAAATTACAGATTTCTTTATCCATTTTTATCTTCAGCGTTGGTCGCCATATTGAGGTTAAGTGGATAAAGAAATCTGTAATTTCATACTTTTTCCAGCTTTGGACACAATATACACCAGGGCCAGGTACATTAGCTCGGATATTTTTATCGTGGAGAAGGAATTTTTATTCTATGAAACTACTGCGAAGAGGTTCGACAGGAACGAAAACGTTAAAAAGGACGTGTTGTCGACCTCGATCAAGTTCGGCCGTCACTCCAGCATCCCCTTAAGGCGATGCTAAAGTCGTCCTGTTTTATCATGATTCTATTTGAAAAGAATGATCCGAATTGGCTTTACGGATTGCAAAATCCTTGTACAGAATAAAAGTACGCACGGAAAACTATACTGGAAACCCTAATTTCAATAGAAAATCGGAAAAAAAAATTCACTTTTTCTGACAACGTATGTACAACTGTCACTTGAGGTTAACATTCACTTAATATAAAAGTTTTAGAGATCGCAGATTGCAAATGAACGTCTTGCAGTATTGGAATAACTTCTATATACGAACAATCCTAAGTTTGCCGAACCAAGATTAAATGCGTAGAAAAAAATATTTCTTTTCAAATAGAAATCACGATCTATGCGAGGATCGGAACGTCAACAGA